GAGGTAAGACTGAAAGGAAAGCGCAAATCGATAGGAGTATACATACAAGGTGAGTGATAGTTCGGATTTTTTAGTAAAATTATTGTTACTGCTAGAAGCTAAACAGTTGTAGCGGATATGTGGGAGCAGTTACAGACAAGTAACTTTTAGTTATACGGTAGGGTCTGCGAAATCGCATGTTTGTTTGTTGTGCGAATCAACGATAATAACGGATGGACGATGGAGTATTACTCCGACAATTTAGTCCCAACATCGGCACCAGTCGGTAAACAACAGACACATTAAGATTGATCCAATCAGGAAAATCATAGACAAAGATAAGAACCCGATCAAATGGGGATATAATCAGCAGAAAATGACAGATTAAATGTCAGTAATAACCAATCAAGATCGAGGTCAAGCTATGAATAACAAGTGGAGAAATTCGAATACTTGACTTCTAGCTGGAGTTTGTGCTAATGAGGTTGTTCAAAAGAACAATGATAGCACCACAACCAAACTGTTCACCTGAGAGAACGAAACTCCGCAATAATCATCTTACTGAGCTACACATTTTTTCAACCATCTTAATTCCAACATCACATTTACTCGTAATTCTTCTATTTGACAATATGGATATAATCTTAAGCAACTACAATCCTGCTGAATTGATACAATGAGTTTCTATATCTATATCAAGGAAAACTGCTTATTTATTTTATACCAACTTATTTTTTATGACTTATGTCTCTTCTCTCTTATTGATTTACAATGTGACATAATTATCTTTCGAATCGACTCGAAACGTATGTTGATGTCCTTTGTCTTCCAATTTAACAACTGCATCAAAATTTCAAAGAAATGCGAAGTTTGTTTCCAAAAAGAATAGTCTGTGCAAATGCTTATAAAAAGCCGCGATTACCTTACATAATTAGGATGGGAGAAACTCTGCACGGCTGTGTCGCCAGTCCGAAGGACGCTGTCCACTGGAATTAGAAAACGAAGAACTACTTGAAGACCCGCCAGCAGTCCCTGATGATCCAACAATCCTTGCAGTTGGACCAACAACAGCAGCATTGTCGATCCCGAGACTAGCGGTTTCAATGTCGAAGGCGCGCAAAGCTTCAGCATGGCGTTCCATCAAACGCCTTGTCTTTTTTCGTGACTCCTCCTTGGTTGATTCAGCATTTTTTTTCATCTGGAGTAAAGAAAAAACCGTCATAGGGTTGTTTACCAAATAAAGGATGTTTGAAAATGACATAATTTACTAGGATTGTTTATAATTTTCAAGAATGACTGTGACGATATTCAGATCATACTGAATAAAAGAAAAAGTTAAAATACGGATTCGAATTTATCAATCATTACAAATTTTATGCAAATAATGTTTTATCACGAACTGTGATCAGCTTTTTTCAGTCCTAAGATCTTTAGTAGAATATTTTTCTAGAGTCGAATAGTTAGTGTCAGCATTGATATGAAAGTTCTTTCTAGTTTATCATAACTTGATAAGCGAAAACACGTAGGACTAAATAAATATTTACGCAATACACATTACAATGAAAAAGTATTCGGCAGGTTTACTGTTCTGAAGCTCTGAAAAAATTATGAAATAAGACAGCACATCAAGATGCTGTACTAATTCCCACTTTTGAATGACCACTACACAGTGGAGCACGTGAAATCTCTCTCTCTTCATCTGCCTACGTCTGGGTTTACCCTTGGGTTTTCCCTGTCGTTGGCTGATGTTCAGAGAGAGATTTCACGTGCTCCACTGTGTAGTGTCATCAAAAGTGATTGTACAGCATCTTGATGTGCTGTCTTATTTCATAATTTTTTCAGAGCTTCAGAACAGTAAACCTGCCGAATACTTTTTCATTGTAATGTGTATTGCGTAAATATTTATTTAGTCCTACGTGTTTTCGCTTATCAAGTTATGATAAACTAGAAAGAACTTTCATATCAATGCTGACACTAACTATTCGACTCTAGAAAAATATTCTACTAAAGATCTTAGGACTGAAAAAAGCTGATCACAGTTCGTGATAAAACATTATTTGCATAAAATTGTAATGATTGATAAATTCGAATCCGTATTTAACTTTTTCTTTTATTCAGTATGATCTGAATATCGTCACAGTCATTCTTGAAAATTATAAACAATCCTAGTAAATTATGTCATTTTCAAACATCCTTTATTTGGTAAACAACCCTATGACGGTTTTTTCTTTACTCCAGATGAAAAAAAATGCTGAATCAACCAAGGAGGAGTCACGAAAAAAAGACAAGGCGTTTGATGGAACGCCATGCTGAAGCTTTGCGCGCCTTCGACATTGAAACCGCTAGTCTCGGGATCGACAATGCTGCTGTTGTTGGTCCAACTGCAAGGATTGTTGGATCATCAGGGACTGCTGGCGGGTCTTCAAGTAGTTCTTCGTTTTCTAATTCCAGTGGACAGCGTCCTTCGGACTGGCGACACAGCCGTGCAGAGTTTCTCCCATCCTAATTATGTAAGGTAATCGCGGCTTTTTATAAGCATTTGCACAGACTATTCTTTTGGAAAACAAACTTCCGCATTTCTTTGAAATTTTGATGCAGTTGTTAAATTGGAAGACAAAGGACATCAACATACGTTTCGAGTCGATTCGAAAGATAATTATGTCACATTGTAAATCAATAAGAGAGAAGAGACATAAGTCATAAAAAATAAGTTGGTATAAAATAAATAAGCAGTTTTCCTTGATATAGATATAGAAACTCATTGTATCAATTCAGCAGGATTGTAGTTGCTTAAGATTATATCCATATTGTCAACATGAAGAATTACGAGTAAATGTGATGTTGGCCTTAAGATGGTTGAAAAAATGTGTAGCTCAGTAAGATGATTATTGCGGAGTTTCGTTCTCTCAGGTGAACAGTTTGGTTGTGGTGCTATCATTGTTCTTTTGAACAACCTCATTAGCACAAACTCCAGCTAGAAGTCAAGTATTCGAATTTCTCCACTTGTTATTCATAGCTTGACCTCGATCTTGATTGGTTATTACTGACATTTAATCTGTCATTTTCTGCTGATTATATCCCCATTTGATCGGGTTCTTATCTTTGTCTATGATTTTTCTGATTGGCTCAATCTTAATGTGTCTGTTGTTTACCGACTGGTGCCGATGTTGGGACTAAATTGTCGGAGTAATACTCCATCGTCCATCCGTTATTATCGTTGATTCGCACAACAAACAAACATGCGATTTCGCAGACCCTACCGTATAACTAAAAGTTACTTGTCTGTAACTGCTCCCACATATCCGCTACAACTGTTTAGCTTCTAGCAGTAACAATAATTTTACTAAAAAATCCGAACTATCACTCACCTTGTATGTATACTCCTATCGATTTGCGCTTCCTTTCAGTCTTACCTCTGTAATCAGTTTTTGTCGGCTAAATCAAAAAGTACATGCAAGAATGTTCGTTCATGAGTTTAGAATTCACAAATGTGCTATTCTAGATTTAGTGGTTGCAAAGTTACACGAAGCTGTGAAAGAAACTTTGTTCGCTGTGTTGTAAGCTGATGTTCTTTTATTTGTTCTCGTTAATAAATTTAACATAGGATTTCATATCCCATAAAAAATCCATATACAGTACTTACTTAATACGAATCATAAAACTTACAGCTTACTGAATATTTGGCAATTATTAGCCTTTTTCGTCTTGACTCTGGTGTGTGAGAAAGAAAGTAACTTGTATTTCTAATTGTTTCTCGTATGATTCAAGAAATATGTTTGTCTTGTGACAGTGAATTGAATTTAAGGATTGATTTCAGGCTTCTCATAAAAGTTTTATCATTTGCATAATTATGTGTGTAATTAAATACTCAATTTAATCAATAAAGGTCCGTGAACGCCCTGCTTCATCAATTAACGAGTGTTACATTGATCTGCAAACCTCCATCCGCATGTTTTTTAATATGTAGTTTATTGTGATAGTAGGCTCATTTACTTATGGAATAATGTCTTAGGTTTCTTGATCGACATGAATAAATAGTCGTTTTGTAGTTCATATCTCATAAACTTTCACTTACAGACATATTTTCACTTTCCTTATTTTAGTACCTGTATATTCATTCACAAGTAAACTCATTCGACCCCATGAAACTGCCACATCGTTATATGCATTTGACAGTTTCATTATACGTCCTCAGGCTTGATCTGGAAATCAGAAGTTCATACCGTGTATTTTTCTATACATAGTTATATAAGCAATTACATCAACTCGTCAACACGACTTTGTATATGCTAACAACCGGTCAACTAACTTCCCCTCCTGTAATTTTCGAAAACAATCACAATCTGTCTTTCCAATTATTACCGTAATTTATTTCTGGGGTTCTTACTTGTGTGGCTTTCTTCTAATGTACAGACCAGATGTAATTGGCAAAACAATTTCACGAATCACATGCAAAACACATCCAAGCTATTCACAATTAACGTATTGTTGCCCCCCCCCCACAATTTTATACGATGGTTTGCAATTTTAACGTAACACTTAATATGTAAAACTAAATGAAGAGATGACCAATCTCACGGAGTCTTTTTACTGTTAGGATTGATTATGTTTTATTATTCAACTTTTCAGCAATGTTTAAACAGCTTACAGTTTGTTTCCCTGTTATTACCCTTAAAACCCAAGTACTGTACTGTGACCAACCCTATGAAAGCTTATTATTGACTACTTTTATTCTTGTAAAATGTTTCATTGGCTTCAGCGTATAAATAGAATTTTAATATCAAAATAATAGTGTTACTAAATAATATATTTCTATCATACAATATATATTCATAATTTGACTTGTTTACATGTGTGATGAAGAATAATGAAGCTACGTGAAAAGTGATGTATGTTCCAACAATTCAGATGTTTTTCTGAGTACTCGGACTGTACAAAAGGCAATGTATGACGAATTAAGATTATTAGCTCAGTTTTGGTGTCAAACATGGAGGTTTTGTAGAATAAAGTAAGCTTTTCGTTCAACCTTCGTTAATTGGTATCGGTGGCAGTTGCAGGATTATAGACTTCATAAAAGATGCTGCTGCAAGTGCTGCATAAGGTTGCCACTGTGTACCTTGTCTACCTTCAACATAGTCAGCTATTCCACGAATGAGAATAAACGAATCAAGGCCATTTCCCATGACGGACTCCAAAACCTGAAATTAGATATGTTGAACATGATTGCGATCATCTGAAAGAATAGTCTAAGTTGTACGATATGATTTGACAATCAAGACTTGAAACATTAACAAACTTACTTGATCGTATTCAGCATCATAGCACAGTAAGTGGTGTTCTTTGGCAAAGTCATTCATCAATGCATCGTTATCTGTAATCGGTCTACCAGATCCCATACAACCAAGGCGTACAGCTGGTACGCCTGGTGGATAGAAGCGCGCTAGTTCTTCTGGTACATCTGGATGTTTGATATCGATTGTTACACCTTCGTTGATCTATATAAAGCATGAGCATAAAAGTTATGCATATCAGTTTCTATTAATTGATCTCAGTAAACGTTTCATTTAAACTAGAAACACACATCAAACTTAACGCAATATCCTAGTTTTCATGTGATATTTAATAAAAAGTTTCTCAAAGTAAGTAATCTGCGCACGATGCATAGTACAGTAACAACCAATAGTGAGATTACGCTGTTAAAATACCGAAATATAGATGCTGAGTTGTCACATGACTCAATCAATTAGACTGATAATGGTCTTATGTATTACTTTAAACAGGAACATAAATAAGTCATAGTTAATTCATTCGCCATTTCTCCACAGAGTTTGTAGCGAGTTAATTATTTCTAAATAACTTGTATTACAGTGAATCTTCATCATTACGAAGTATCTACCATAAAAACTGTCATGCCAACAGTAAGAAAAAAGTGAGCATCAAGAATGATCATCCCTTTTGGGACTTACTTTAAGTTTTAGTTTGTCTGTATCTGGTGACGGTCGTGCGAAATCAATCGGGTCATCCTCACCTCCTAATACAGTTAGAGCAGACTTTAAAATCTGGTTCCATTCACGTTTTTCAGGAGCCGCTTCGAAACGATCAAGAACTTTCTCCACACAGTTCACTAAAGTTGGATCTCGAGCTGCGTATTTTCGTAAGACAAATCTTGGTGTTTTAATATCAACTTCATCTTCTGGAGGCTCGATCAGTCGATCACAGTAAATGTAGATAGAGTCTCCTACACCATTTGATACAGAATGATTTGTATGATTGTTCACAGATAATGAAGCTAATCCACTTGAACGTGCTACAGCACTCACTACAATATCACCTAGGCGAGAATGTTTTTCAAATTCATACACGTGAGGCACGCTACCCCCAACTCCTACTAGGAATACATGTTGCACTGCTTGAAATGCACCTAAGAATTTAAAAAAATGTGTTTATATCTGACGAAATACATTTTTCTTTAATAGCTACGAAGTTTAAATAGCGACAACTTTGATTTCTAATAAACCACGCAGCATGATACCTATGTAATATAATACCAAAATACAAGTAGTGAGTTCGAATAATTATCATAATATAACTGTGAGATTAAAACAGTCAGTAAGATGATAATGCACCTTAATATTAATCACATGTATTTATTTACACAGTGATCGGCAAGCGAGAGATATTCTGCTTTTTTTCGCTTGCAAAATATAGAACTGATTTACTCATACAGTGAAATCATTTAGTTAATAGTGGCCGTCATGTTTATTTCAACGTTGAAGTGTTGAGAGGAAATCAATTCTAACGAAAGAACGAATAAATATATGTGTAGTGGAGAGATTCCAAATGCACAGATTTGAACAGGTAATCATTTTTAAACATCTGGATTGTATTAAAAACAATTGCTGAAAGGTTACACTTGCATAGGTTTTTGCATAATATGCGATCTAATTATTGATGTTGTAAACTTGATGTTATCGCGTCTCTGAATTTGTAAACATTCCTCATGCTATAAAAGATCCGTGTTAGTGAAGTTTCTTAGGCTGAAGAATTGTGATAAAATGAGCAATGTTTAAATGATCAATTGTTGTTATAACTGCATGATAACAGTGCAGACGGTTGGTTTCAGTTCAACTTTGGGACGATCATCTAAACAGATACTTTAGGTGGATTTTAACGGGAAGGCATAGAAATAAGAAAAAAAGATATCCCGTACACATTAGATCATTTTGTACAGCTTCCGGAAAAAAATACTACCTAAATGAGAGTGGTTTATATGAATAACAGTATATATTAGGAAAATCAGTGTAAACAAAACTTTAAATCTCATTATAAACAATGAATGACAGCGGTCAGCAGTGGAATTGTAGACACGTTTTATCCTGGTTGGTACTCGTCAGCTCCGATGAACCTGCATCACATAGCTGATGTTCGCTTCGGGACTCCAGCTCATCACCATCCTTTCCAAACACCATTTTGCTATCTAACAAGCTAATGAGTCCAAACAGCCACTAATTCGTGCTATGTGTATGAGCCTTAATTTAAAGCGAAACGCGCGTCCTGGATTCCACTGCTAGCTACTATCCAAATCTGCTTATAATGCTTGTGACTCAATGACACTATCGACCCAATCTGCACAGACAATAAAAGAGCAGCCTTAAACATAAGTGAGAAGATTCAAACATCTAATATAAATCAATTAATCTCATCATATTTACTATTAAAATGAACAATGTAACGCAAACATACCTTGTACGGTTATAAAAGCATAACAAACGTTTGAGATGATTTACAAGCAATTTATCAGGAAAGAAAATATATGGTAATATAGGAAACTACTGTGACAAGGCTCAAGATACTGTCTTAACACTTCAGAACAAAAAAAGAGCTATGAATACGCTATTTTTATTTAGTATAAACTAGGGATGAACATTTTATCCTGTTGACCATTGTAAATAAAAGTAGATACTATTCATCAATTTTTATAAACTAACCAAGTAATCGAGTTGTAATACTTCCAGAAGAAATTTTCGCCTGAAGTTCACGTCCAACCATGGGTAACTTTGTAGAAATGACCTTATGTGGTCCTATGTTTCCGATAGTATAAACATGTGATTCACCTAAGAAATAGAAAACAAATTACACTTGAATATATATATTTATAATATACCTTCAGATTTGTAACGAACAAATGTTGTTTTCTGTTCCATCATTGCATCAACAGCTAACTTTTCACACAATAAATTGGTGATAATTGCAATTGTAGGCTTTTCAGATGTGGATACTTGTTGCATATGATTCGCTCCTTTCATCTCTCTGACAACTGAAAAGAAAATTGAAAATAAACTGAATTGTCTTTCATAAAAATTTAATTAATTGTATGTACCATATCAAGAAAAATATTATATCTTTGAAGTAAATAATACATTGTTGATCGATTTCATAAGCAGCTGCCAAATAGCTAAAACATCAGACTCTAAAAGCATTTCACCTACTTCGATTGGAGCAGCTAAATACTATTATCTTAGGTCTTCACAAAACAATTGATTCAAAACTGAAAACACACACTTGCAATTAATAAATGAGTTAAATTCCATTATAGAACTATAGATTAGATTAGATTGAATCAAGAACAGATTAAAATGTTTATTTCTAAAGTAAGGTTGAAAAATTACATCGATGAAATGAGAATTAATTTCGGGATACTACATGCTCATGCATATTTCGTGACGCAACTGATGAAAGTTGAGTTAAACATTGGTTTTATGGCAGAAATATTTAGAGGACTCCTATCAACGGACAGACAGTCGCAATAAACACAGAACTTAGCGAAGACACGTTAACGTAAGATGCCATATCAACGGATATGTACAATATTTTAACACTAACTTTTCAGAACGCTCAACCGAGTAAGCAGTGCTGTTGTTAGGAAACGGGTACTAGGTAAGGATGGTGGGTCGATAGATGAAGTATTGAAGCTTGAGGTAGTTGAGACATGTGTAACGAATGCCTACCCACCGTCTACCTCGTCGAGCTATGTTTTACGATGTAGGAGTAGGTTGGAAGAAATCTACGGGCGGCCAAGCCAAAACATGGCACGAATCCGTGAAGTCACTGACAACTGGACTGAACCATGTTGGTAAGTGTCGACTACCTGGTTGGTTCAGAACCATTTGCTATGTCTCAGGTGCTGTCAAATCCTAACCTTCTGAATTCCTCATCACCTTTATTTATCTCTTTAAGTTTATTTCAATAGATTCTACTTCTTGAATAATATCCTCGAACCCTAATCTCTCCGATAACTGCTAATACTTTTACTACCTCTGCTACAATGGGATTTGAACTGACAATTACGTCTCTGTGCTATTGTGGTATGGCAACCGGAACTGATTGTACGTACGTACGAAGTTCTACATTGTAACTGACTGACTGACATTAATAACAAATAGTTAACATCACTTTAGACTAATTATCATCATCACTGTCACAGGTAAGCCCTAAATATACATGTATACATTATAAGAATGTTAAGATCTATGAATTAGTCATATGGTAAAATAAATATTTACTTAAATAATAATTAGAAGAGCAATTAAAATGCGATTGATCTCCATCATTATTAATTAGTGCATAAACAGAACACATGACGTTTTGTAATTATTGATCGGATTAATAGAAAGTTGTTATTATTTAGATACAAGTAACACATCGATTTATTTATTTGCCTTCATGTAGTCAAATAACTGCATCAGGCGAAAAGGAAGTTACAACAAAGCACTAATAATTCTAATCATTATATAAAATGTGTTATTTGTGAATTAGATTTCGCAATGAAAGATGACATAGATAATGGATGTCATAGACTAGCTACTAAAAATATTTCTATAGAATATGTATAACTATGAAGGTGTGTGTATTGATTAAACAGTCTTTCGATAAAAAAATCTAATTTTCTTCAGTAGTGGTAATGTGTGTAGAATCAATGACAAGATATTGATATGGTAAGGAAATTATATGCCTACTTATTAGATGAGAGTTAATATGGCACGGTTTCACTTTACGGGATGGTTCGTACTTTTGGCGAGGAGTGGAAACGTAATTATTTGTTCACACTATAATTCTTTAGAGTTTAGGTAATTCAATACATGAGTTTATAAGAGAACAAAGGAAGCTTATGATAATATGTGCTCATACAAGGATAAAAAAAAGCGTCTATAAATAAAGTAATAGCTTATTTTTACAGCCTATACTTACTTAAAATATCGATGACTCGTTCGAGGATTACAATCATAACTGGCATCTAACATTTAGAGCTTCTTAACAAATCTATCATTTTATTGTGACGAAATATTTTATCTTGAGAAATGCACAATATACATTCAATATGTAGTCGTTAAACATGCTTTATTGGCTGATTCGCCAATGCATGAAATTCTTAAATAAACAAGTTCTAACTTATTCGAACAAAATTAAATATGATGTAACACTGCATCCTATAACAATGACTCTTATAAAATTATCGATCCCAACGAAAACTAACGGAATAACCTTAATCGATTAAAGGTGAGATTGTATGTTGTGACATATTTTTTATGCACTATAATTACTCTGACAAAGATGTTTAAATATTAAACAATATGAACTTGGAAGAAATTCACATATAGATGAAATACGCTGATTTGCCTTTATAGTATGACCACCTTATACAGATTGAACCAGTATGAAAAGTTCGTATGCACCTAAAACATTACGCTCTGAGTTTATTATGAACAATAAACTTTGTTAGTATAACTGCGTTACATTATATCACGATTTGATGAACTAATAGATCAAAGAACTTAAGAACAATTCCGTGTCAATATATTTTCGTAAACTTTTACAATATCCTCGTTGAGTTGGATTATATCGATTGAGGGAGCATCATTTTTCAATGGAAATTGTTTTTTCAAGGAATATTACATAGTGAAACATGAACAATAATACAAAGGTCAATCCCCATTATTATCTGATTTCAAGTCACAATTCATAAACTTCGATCACAACCATAGATATTTATGTACAGATGATAAAATAATCCTTAACAAACGGGTAATTAGTAAATAACAAATGCCTATTATACAAAGGTCTACATACTAACCATTATTTTGTAAATGGATTTTTCTTCGAAAACCGAATTGACCCACATGCTTGCCTTCCAATGGTACTAGTTGTATGAGATCTCGATTAGCTAACTCATCCAGCTGAACTTGTAATAAATTACGATTATCACATTCTAAAATACTGAAAAGCAAAAGGTAAAACGAGAGAATAACTAGTGTTACACTATATTGTAAATTAATTTTAGTTTTCCATGATATAGACATTTAATCAATATTTAAAAGAAGAACAATTAGCATGAATTTTCAACAAATAAATTTACTTCTACCCACTGAAAAATAGAATGATGAACTGTTTTTTTTAAAAAAAAAAAGGAAAAATTGATTTCGAAAATCATTTGTTACTAGCCAGGTCATTTGTTTGTCTTCAAAACAATTAGGTGATGACTAGATAAGAATGATCCTAATTTAAATACAATTAATAAAGTCTAAGTACAATGTATGAGATGATTAAGACATCGTTTTTCAATTCACGTAAAGACATATGTAATGGAAACTTTCTTGCTTAAAATCTTGTAGTCAGTTCTATCCAAAAATTTTCGGCCGTGTCGGAATTTATAAAGTAATAGTCATAGTTGGCTGGTCAGCAGCCAGAATTAGCTTTCTCGTCGCGTTTTTAAAGTAATCAGCGATAAAAAGTATCTAGTTTGGCAACGCCTTTCATTAGGCAACTGAACAGAATTGATATGAAGTCATGGGCTTAGTACTTCAGTTAGAAGCTAACAGTAGACAGACTAAATGACTGGATATCCAGCGGTCACTAGATATAATCTAGTCGCTCACCTGATTAGTCTGAATTTGAATACATATATCTATTTATTCGAAATCGACACTTTCTCCCCAATTAAAGCAGTTTAAAAATATTGATTAAACCATATTAGTGATCAAAATGTGAGAAAGCTTAAAACCCTAAAAAATATATGATACAAGTTATACTACTAGTGAGTAGTTACAACCGACAAACATAAATAACATTCCAAATCATTATATATGCTTACGCAGAAACAATTAAACCAGTGAAGTAATTTAATTTATAATTTATTTGATTGTGATTCGTAATCCTAGATAAGCCTACAATGAAGAAACTTAAATAAAGGTAAACAATGGAAAAAGAGTACTGGTAATGTCGCCTGACGATCGGAATCATTAAAATTCCAAATCTAAACGAACGTCTGTTGATATAAAATTAAGTAAATAAATGTACGAAATAATCTTTAATTAAATGAATACTAACAGCCGCTATTTTTCTCTTCAATCAACTAATCAGGATTTATAAAATTTATGTATTAGACACCGGGTCTCAAGCAAAATATTACCACTTTTATGAAACAAGCCATACATACTTCAGCTTGTTAACGGAGCATAGGCCGCCAACCAGCACCCTCTAACCAACTTTCTGTCTTGAACACTCCTTTCCAGTTCTATCCAGTCGCTATTCATTATTTTCATCTCTGTCTCTAATTCTCAGTGCTCTGTGTTTCACCGTCCTACCGCTTTTCCTTTGACTTTGAGATTTCTAAGTTAGGGCTTCACCTTAAGAAGTGTTAGGTGATTTTCACAATGTGTCCTAATTTCCCCCGCATCCGTAATCTGGTTTGTTCTCTACCACAGTATGTTGTTGCTGGTGGTGTCTGGTCAACCGATCCTCATATCTTGCGTAGACGACTGTTAATAAACACCTGTATCTTTTGGATGATGGCTTTTGTAGTTTTCCAAGTTTCCACTCCATATAATAGAGATGTCTTGATGTCCGGATTGAAAATTGTGACTTTACTTTGGTGTTGGTTGGTAGTTTTTTTGGGTTACAAATGTTCTTCGATTGTAGAAATGTTGCCCTTGCAGCACTAATCTGTGTCTTCGCATCTGCATCAGACCCACCTGGTTTATCAGTGATGCTTCCCAGGTATGTAAACATTTCCACATCTTGCAAAGCTTTTCTATCAAGTGATTTGGTTGGTGAATGCTGTTTTGTATAGAAGGATCCTGCTTTTTGCCTTTTGTGTGTTGAAACCTACTGCTGCAAATGCTGCTGAATCTCTGGCATAAAAATTTGCCAGCAAAATAGTGATGCTTTTATAAATGAAGAGTATAGCTAATTTATCGGATGCATTCTCTAATCATCGCAAATGATTTTCGAATAAAATACTTATTGTAACTTAATTGATAGTTAAATATCCATAGTATAAGAGTGCGCTTTTATAGTAAAATTTCTCAAAAAGGTTTACTAATTTATCAAAGTCTCATAATGAAAAAATGGCAGATTTTGTGAACAGAAAATTTCAATTCTTCTGGCTTGATTTTACAATCAGTTATTTGATTTGGTATTTACTTTATTGTCAGAAGTTTATAATCATGACCATTTGATAGTGAAACGCTTAAACGACTTTCGTACTAATCAATTTTCGGGTTTTCAACATAAACAAACATTACCGACTTAAAACCTGGCATACATATGTGTTGGCCAAAGGTTTAGTACCTGATTAAAATGATGAGATGGAAATCATGAAAACGATAGCACTAAACGTCAGGGAAATAATTGAAAAAGCCAGTGTGGAAAGGTATGTGTGAAGGGGTTCGAGATCGAGAAGATAAAGAGTGGATGTATTTGTGCCACTCCGAATGATTTCAAGCCATGCCATACAGCGCCTTCAATTACTACTCGGAATTATCATGTAAACCTAAATCAGGTACTCTGTACCTACTTATATCGCTCAGATCAACATAAAATGACCTTACAGACCGACTCCACATTCTGGTTTGGAAGCTGCTAGCATTCTTTTAATTGGCTTCTAGACTAGTGAACGTAGCTCATTAAAATCAGTATTTGGGCCTATGTCAGATATACACTAACAAATTTTTCTTAATTATTTGACACATTTTAAAAAAGGCCAACGAGATCATTAAAAATTAAGTAGCAGGTAATTACTTTATCAATAAGGCAAAGGACAATGAACTTAGAATGAACAACAGGTATTGATTAACTGCCATTTATCAAATAGGTTCATCCGTAAAAGAGAATACGGAACAAAGGTATAATGGGTTGAAAAAAATTGAAACCATCCATCAGTACCATTTAATCACTAATAAACATTTTGTATACAAAGTTATTGTGCACTGTGAAGCAGATGACTGTACAAAAATGCTTATTTTTTAGCTAATTATATTGCTAATGTTAGTACTGGAAATTAGAGTTAAGTGAAGTTAAGTTGTTCTTATATGTTAATTTATTGACCCTAAAGAGAAGGTCAGCTTCCTTCATTGTATAGATACAAACTTTCTGGTAAAACAAATTTCCAGTAATCAAACTCTTTATGAACAGAATATTTCAAGCGAGAAAACATGAGTAACTGGATATACAAATACCTGGAGATCAATTAGTGTGAAAATATGTAAAATATTCATAACTATCTATTTTAATAGGTTTCAGAAATCTAAACCACACAAAGAAAATAAAGAGACACTTAAATGAATTCAACTGGCAAAATTTGTATGTTATGTCGATTTTAATTGCATTGTCGAAACTTAAATTGTCAGCAAAAAAGAAAAAATTTAAATCGCTTAACTAGTCTACTTCATTTACTTTTTTTGCACACTGTGACTTGGAAGATAGTTGAACAGTATTAAATCAGAATAGTTAGGACACTAAGTTTTATAGAACGTATAAATCCTAGTAAATCAATCAATAATAATTAACAATTTGGGTGTCTAGAATAATATTCAAAGGTTGTAAGCAATATATTTTTAAAAATTTAATGCAACTATAAAATACGGAACAAATGTTAAAAAAAAATGATTACATTTAACTGTTAAACTGTAATTCTATCGGTTATGCTCTCTTCAACTACATACTTTACATTGAACGCTGTGCCTCACTCTGCTTCCCCCACACCCCCAACCCACAAAAAAAAACAACAACAAAGAAACAAGAATTAAAAAGTGGATACAGTTCATTCTATCCTGCTAACAGACAATGCAATGCATAAAAATAGGTACGAGAGAAATTTTTGAAAAAAAAACAAGATATAAACAAACAGTTAAAAAAAAGTTGATTGGATAAAAAAGGAATTTATTACTATTTGTGAAGTTTTGGATTTAAGTATCAGACGAAGGAAAAACCCGGTAGCAAAACTTTTATAAGCATCTACAACAAACTTATGAAACGAGAAAAATCCATGTCAGTAGAGATGAATAGTATTGAATATAATAACGAAAATAAATGCTAAAGATGAACAGCTGCAATAATAACATAAAACTATGTATTCATAAATGTTACAACAAAAAATACTTATATCTAAAATGAATTATAAGACTGCACACATTGATAAATGATATATGCACATGACTACTATATAAACAATCAATGTAGTTTGAATAAAGAAAACAATCCTTGTTCATGCAGTTGCCACTTGTTATGCACTGGTCAATATTATAAAAGAAATGTAGCAAATGATTTAGACATGACAAACAACATGTCTATTACAAAACAAATAAGCTAACTAAACTTGAATTCATTTAGTGTAGAGTGTATTTATAAATCAAATAATTCAATCAATGAATGAACAAAATATCTAACTATGTAAGTTACACACTCTGATGTATGGAAATTGTTTTATGGAAGCATACAAATTGCACGAAAATGTCTAATTAAAGAAAAAAATGAATGAAGATAAGAACTAGCATTTAATTGTTCTTTTTTTCAAAAATAATTAACAACAATGTCTGTAACTGTAATATAAAATATTGCCAACTCATATCGTTAAACAAGTATGAGTTTCCATGGGGTTATTGATAATCTTTCAAACAGAAAATTTGTATGGAATGATTTCCATTGACAACTCCCGATTATTCACAACAGGGCACTTTATCTACAGACTAAATATCAGACATGTTACTCATTGTTTCAAGATGTTTTACAGAAAGGATTTAACATCATTTTATTGAGTTGACAGGAGTTAACATGTAATGAGATAGAAAATAACTGAGAAAATAAAAAACCTAATTGTTTTCATAGTTGAAATCACTAACTGATCTTAGTCAGTCAGTCAGTCAGTTAGATGCAACGTAGAACCTCGTACGTAAGTACATCAGTTCATGTCACCATACCACATCAGCACAGAGATGTAATTGTCAATTCAAATCCAATAGTAGAAGAGATTGTAAAGGTTTTAAAAGTAATCGGAGAGGTTAGGATTAGAAGATATTATTCAAGAAGTATGATTCAGTGAGAAAAGTTTAGAAAGTCAAAACTAGAGGTGTTGAAGAACCCAGAAGATTAGGATTTGAGAGAACACAAAGAATAAATGCACCGGCGCCATTGCGAACGATTTTGAGCCATGTCATTCAGGGTCTCTAACCATCGATTATTATCATCTCGCGGACCCCAACCAGGTAGTCGACAATTACCGACATGGCTCAGTCCACTAGTCAATGACATCATGGATTTATGCCATGTTTTGGTGTGGCCGCCCCTAACTTTCTTCCAACCTACTCCTACACTACAAAACAAATTCGTCGAGGCAGTCGGTGGTTCGGCATACGCAAAACATGTCCCAACCACCTCAACTGATGAAGTTTCACCACTTCATGTATTGATCTGCCATCCTTACCTAGTACTCGTTGCCTAACGACAGCATTGCTCACTCGGTTGTCCCACGGTATACGAGCAATGCTTCGAAGACACCTATGATCGAAAACCAGTAACCTACGAATATCTTCTACTCTCACTGGCCATGTTTCACAGCCATATAGGAGAACGGAGCGAACTGCTGCACAGCACACTCGTCCTTTAGTCAGCAAACGGATATCACGTCTATGCCATAAGTGACGCAGGTTGGCAAAGCCAATCGAGCCTTCTGTATACGAGCTGAGACTTCGTCAGTCACCAGGCCATCAGCACTGATGAGACTCCCCAGATACGTGGAGCGGTCTACACGCTAAACTACTTTACTCCCTATCACTAGTTCAGGTGCCGATGCAACCCAGTCTTGAAGCAACATTTTGCATTTCGAGGGGGAAAACCGCATCCCGAACATGCTTGCATTGTTGCTTAGGGTAGTCAGAAGACTCTGCATTTTTTCAGCGTCTTCACCAAGTAGGACAATGTCATCGGCATATTCTGAGTCAATAAGCGAGCCACCTGGTAAAAGGTCTACTCCTGAAAATTCAGACGAGGATAAGGTTATTTCTAGGAGCATGTCTATGATAAAATTAAACAAGAATGGAGAAAGTGGACATCCCTGACGGACACCACTTGATGTAGAGAATTCCGGTGACAGTTCGCCATAAACAATCTCCAAAAATTCTCTTCATTAATTTAATATTTTCTCAACATTACACAGCATAATCACTGAAAATGTTATAATGCAAGGAGAGAGGAATGAAAACACAATGTCCAAAAAATAAAAACAACTTAATAACTATGTATAAGCCTAAAGTTTATTTGGAAATTGATTTTGTGTACTATTTGTATTTTGGATACTGTTTTAGCAAAAATTAAGCAATTAACTACTTGGTACCTTTCAAATTTGTGATACACTTAATAGGGAAAAGACACTAATCAAAATCCCAAAATAAAATCGGTCAAGAGAATGAAAATTTGCAAGCAGCAGTTAACAAATAAACAACCAGACAACTGAAGTAATAAAAAAATTTTGATTAGTACAAAATCAACTAATAGAAATTAGCGAAACTGAATACCAGAGTTTTAGGCTATTTATCAGAAGTAGAAGTCCTCCTACTGCTAAGCAAACAAAAATCAAGACAATTAACTCATTGTTGAAGCTTTAAGTAGTACATACTATTGAAACCATTAACTAATACAAATTTATGCTAGTTAGAAATGTATAAAAAACCAACTGTACTTTCTCACATGCAATGAGTCCCTTTTACGAATCTATAAACCTGCACTAACAAATTTTGTGAGACACAATGTATTGTGTAAAATATTTGTTTTGTTATTGAATACAATTCATTTGTCATGATAATAATAATAATAATAATAATAATAATAATAATAATAATAATAATTCACTAAACCCCTGAGAAAACATATACATTGAAGAAGAGAAACTTACCGAACAAGATCATCCATGGATAAAACATTAGGATAGGCTTCTTCTAATCTCATTTGCAATGATTCACGTATAACTTGTTCAGTTGGTCTATTATCTCTCTCTAAATAGATAGTTTGGGAAAAGTAAGTGTAATTAAAATTTCAATATTTTTTATACATAAAAACGTTGTTAAATTTTAAATTGCCTACGTTCAAGGAAAAACTTGATGCTCGCGAAAAATGCAAACATGCATAAGTGATGAAATGGATGCAATCAATATTGAGTTCCGTATGCATATAAAGATACATTTAAAATGAAATTCACTGAGTAGACAAAATAATATGTATCTAATTAATAAAATAAAAATATCAAAATTTTGAGAACATCTTAAGACTTACATTAACAGTGGTAACCACAGTACACATAAGCAGCAGAAATTATTTATTTAAACACATAAACATTGGTATAAAGAGGCATCAAAATATTTATAAGTCGGATGTGATACTGCCCGGACGCCCAAACCGGGACATAGGGTTGTCGAGCATTTGACCCAGAAGTCTAATCCAGAAGGCAATGGAGCAACCTCAGAGGTGAAGTTTCGTGGTAGCCAATAATCGAAAATATGTTCATACGCCAATCGTCTAGTCAGGATCCTTGAGTCCAAGTAAACCACTGGTTCGCAATCAGGGTTTTTCAACTCCCGTATGTGAATCCCACATACTTACCAACCAGGTAAAGGACAGGACACTCGCTTTTCGTCTTCTCAATTTCTTAAACAACACCCGCGCCACGAACTCAGTGAATAGGGCTTTCCTCGCAGTAGCTATATACGCACGGTCATTTAAGGGCGTTTTGAGAGAGAGAATAGAATCTCTCCATTATCGAACGTACCAGGGCATTCGGGGTCAGCGAAAAATAAGCAAGACTATAATTTGTTCAGCTCAAATTCCTTAACCTCCACACCAAAAATACACATTGATAAACGAAGCGAAAATATCATTATTTTACTACTGAAATTTGCATACATCAAATTTTATTTATCTTCCATTCATGAAAAGAAGTTAGCAACGTCAAACAGCCAGAGTAAACCAATTTTTATCAAATGGAGTAAATGAAGTAATATTATTGAGAAACGACTTTATTTACACCAAAAATAAAGTGGTGGTAGGACTAGAATGTAATCGACTGTGTATCTTTCGAAAAAGGTGAAGCCACAAACAGTATACATCTTATCACTTTACAGAAACAACATAGCTACAGTCGTCAAGCTCCATTACTTCAACAACAATCAATTTGAAATATTGAGTTTTTACCTTCTCTATGTAATGGTTACAACTTTAATCAATACATAACTGAAACAAGTTCATTTTTGGTTAATTGATTTTACTGAATTTAATTCAATTCCCAATAGTTACAAATGGACTGATAACCGACAGAATCCTAGCACAAGATTAATGTTTAAACCAAAAGAATTGTAATATGAAATCGAGACAAAATACAGTCTACAATATAGCCTAAACATTAAACCGTTACATAAGTGCATCAACTAAAATTATCTAAGATGATGGAAAAAGCTTGCTTTTTAACCACTTCATTTCTTTGTAATCAACAAACAGTGATCTCCAACTATTACAGACTAATGTTAACACAAAATTTACAGCTCTTCCACGTTCAGTCAATAACATATACACAGTTCATGTCACATATGCGCTAGAAGAACATTGAATGTAACTTCTTCAGTGAAAGTATTAACCAATGAATCATTATTAATAGATTGAAGGTAACAACCGAAAGTATGAAATATTTTAAATATTAGCAATAAAAAAAATAATCAGACAAACTAATAAATAATTATTTACATATACTTCATAGTATGACCTAGTAACAATATTGTCTGTATATAGTGTTTGATGTGTAGGACATGTAAATAGTAAGTGTGGGGTTTCTAAGACAAATCAGGTTGCCACCACCACCACCACCACCAAAGGTGTTTTTAAATATTACTTATATAATAGAATTGGTAAGATGTGTCATAATTAAATTTAAGTTTAATTTAAACAAAAATATGAGTAACATAAAACGAGAATTTTCATACGTTAAGGTTGACTAACATCATGATAATAACACAGCTATTTACTTAAGTAAACCAAAAACGTCTGCAGTTTGGATTACTAAATACAAGTATCACTATCAAAATTATCCGTTTTTAAATGTTATAGGGATAACACTCATACAGAATATCATTCAACAACACAGTGTGCAGATATTTTTTGCGAATGTACTAACCAAGGAACTTCCGTTAGTTTGTTTATGTAGAAGTACTTTTAAAGTGGAAACTAAGCATACGCAATCGCTAAGTAGAATTGTCAGCTGATCAATAAGGATACTTATCTGAATTAAGACAGTTCCATTTATTTCTTGAACATTTAGGTACGTCCGAAACTCGACCCATATATATGATATTTCACAGACGTATTTAGGTCAAATAGATTTACATTTCATCAAGAACAGGAATAAAGAAGACATAAAACATGGAGTAGGAAAGTGAATAAAACTGAATTCACAGTTGTATTATTTCAGGTAAAATCTTGAGACTCCATTAAAATGTTTACAACAAATTAATTAATTTTGTATTACATAATTCCATTAAGAGTCTTGTTTCAGCTCATGTTTTATAGTGTATGAAGAACCAAGCGAAAACGAAACGAGGATACGTGTAAATAAAAAGCAACAAATATGAGTAGACTGAACTATAAGTGGTTCGCGTGAGAGACCGAAGGTCTTCGGTTCGGTTCTCCAGTGAGGAAGTCACAGATGCGCACTGCTGAGTTCCATACTGGGACGAAATGGCTGTCAAGTGATTCCAGGTTCCTAATGCTGGTCTAACATTGATCGATTCATGATTTCAATAAGAAGAATCAGATTCAATTCTTAATTATTCCATGGTTTTACCACCTCTCCTAAATTTACAAGTCGTGAGTGCCAATCATTAGCTTATTGTTTAACTTCTCTTTTGCAAAGTAGACAGTTGTCTTTAGGATTTTTATATGATTATTTTTTTATTACTTCTGAAATTATTGCATAACTTTAATTCTTGATCATTTTTAACTGCTGTACTAAATGATGCAACATCGATTTTATTAAAAACCTTTCCTATTTATAAATTAGTAAATCCAAAACTTGAAATTTTTTGATAATCTTCATCATATAATATCATTAAGTTCCAAACATAATACTAGAATAAGTGTGAATATAAGTATACAACATTTGGAAACAGTGTTTAGCCGCTGTTTACCTTTACTCGTGAATACCAACGATGAAGTTATGCTCCCATAACATCTTTTTCGATGTTTATAAATGAAAAGTTTTAAACATATATGAGGTTAGCAGATATAAATAATTGATTAGGACAAATATAAGACAAAAAATCAATGTGTTTGGAATAAAAAAAGGCAGAGAGGTTTGAGTAGGTAATCGAAGCAAATTTAAAATAACATTTTTTATCGTTCACACTAAGCTTTATGTTTCAAGTAATAATGGAAGAATTTGCTTATATGGTATAAGCTTGATTACTATTCCACACAAATAAATAAGATATTCATTGATCACTTATTACACACTTGTTCTGCTGCACGTTACATGTAGTCAGTGTATATAGTGTATATAAGCAGTTCTCCATTTACAATGTACTATTAAGAAACATATATTTACGAGACTTTAGACATATATATTGTCAAGGCATTTATTCACATCATATGATCAAAACAATAGGAAAGAAATTCTAAAGCCAAGCATTGTATATTTTTTGATATTCATACAGATAAAACAGATATGTAGCATGAAGGAAACTTTTTCTGAACCACGTTTGTTATATGTAACAACATAACTATAAAATACAAGTTTATGTATCTAAGTTTGAGCCATGTTGCTTCAGTGAGGTTTATCCATATATAAAAAAGGTGAAGTTTGGTTGCAACCAGCAACTTGGTAGTTGGAATTCAAGCTATTTTAATTATCATATTGTAGAGTTTAGTGCAAAGTTATTGATGCTAACGTTGATCAATGCATGCTAAGATGACGCAACATTCAATTCAATCGGTTTGTATGGTTAGAAACTAATTCATCTCAATCGAACCCATGGACTGTACAATATATTGAGCTTCATATGTAACAAATAGCGTCCGGACATTCTGATCAAATAAATCAAATCCCTAGCATCTTGAACAAACTGTTATTCGCTTTAAAGTTTTATCAAGATTATAATTCATTTTTACAATTTCAGGATTTACTAGTATGTAGGACTAAAAATCAATATTGATGAATTGTTAACAACTCACACATCACCGTGAAGAAAAAGGTAATAATTAAGTGAACAGAAGCAAAAGAAATATTTACAATTTCAAACATTAAAACGGAAACTGCATAAAAATATACACCAGAAAAATAATTGGATTCTATCGTGATCCAAAATATACTACAAATTATTATAATCGAAACGAAACTTTAGTGTCTAAATGAATTAAAATTTCTTACTAATGAAAATTACTAATTTTAGACAATTTCATCTATCATGACATTTAGAACAGTAAAATGACACAAATACACAACTTCACAGTAATACTGTTTACTGTGCACTAAACTGTAGATGAACTCTACTAAGCTTCTCTTCTAACAATACAAAATGCATATTTAAACTGATACAGAACACAGTAAAATTTTGTATCAATGGCTTTTTCAGTAAATTAATTCTAAATGAAAGTAAGGCTGACCAAGCTCACCAAGTAATTACGTAGCTCCAAATATATACCAAAAATACCGCATAATGCCGTACTACTCCTAGAATGAATGAAATTTGGTATTTTTGTACCGGGCCAGTATATTTGACTGTGAGCTATACCTATTGTCCCAATGTTATTTATATCCACTATCTGGTTAATCTTTGCTAACAGTTAGGACTATTGGTAAACAATTAGGCGTTTTCTTTAGTTCAGATTTTTGTTTCATATGGCTCCATGGTACAAGATGACCTATTATAACGTAGTGTTATTCAGACAGACAGACAGATACAACGCAGAATTTCGTACGTAAGTACATGCCCCATCAGCACAGTGACGCAACTGTC